GAGAAAGGGGGAGGAGAGAAAGAGGAGAGGGGGAGAGAGAGAGGGGAAGAGGGGAGAGAGGAGGGAGAGCGGGGGAGAGGGAGAGAGAGAGAGAGACTAAAATGAAATACTAGTTTTTCTACTGCTGAATTTTCAGACATTACTAATTCACACTGAGAGGTAGCCACCTGTAGCACAAGGATCACTCTGTTGAAATTGTGTTTCCTGCTCTGTCTCCATTGATGAGCTCATGGCATACACTCGATTGCTTATTTAAAACTTCCATTGTGAATAAAGAGTTTGGACCAAAGCTTTGATCACAAAAACACCCTGTGCCTGTATAAGTATGTAAAACTTTTATTACTCTAGTATATGGGGAAATATCTCTTGGTACAAATTTATGAAAAAAAATGACAACTATGGTATCTTCAGAAGCATTTTAAAAATTGACATTTTATGTCTCAAATCCCCCCAAACTTTTAAAGAATAAGTATCCATTTGAACTACATTCTTTAAAAACACACATTACAACATTACTAAATTTCAAATTCAATCCCATAAAACAACACTGACAGCAGACTACCTTTTCCTTGTGAATGCCTGGAGAGGTAAGAAGTATAGAAAACAGTATCAACTTTAAAAGTACTTTACCCTTGCTGAGATAATCAGGCTGGCCTTGGAAGGGGACAGCTTTTTCAGTCCTCATAGAAAACTGATCTACTCCAAGGTTTCATTGTATGTGAGAGTAGCAGGTGCTACCTCAGACATTCTGCAACTGACAGAAACAGGAGGGGGTGGGGCTCTACTTAACTGTGAAACAAGCACAAGAAAGGACGCTTAAAATGCATTCTTTCTTTTTCCAAATGGGAAAAGGCCTCTCTGTGGTTACATGGACTACGGATACTCAAACAAAGATGAGATTTGTTGGGAGGAAAAACATGTCTTTCAGGCTGAATCCCAACTAGAAGCCACGGCAGCCTACACCCAGCATTCCATCTCCCAGCAAACAGGGGCTTTACACAAGCAACTTCTCATGCCACTCTCACACTTCAGATTAGCCACATTCTTAGTACTTTCAACAAAAGTTGTCATAGACCAAATTATTTAAACATAAACCTATGAAGAAATACTTCTCAAGTCCACTCTATATCTTGGCATATTTTAATGTGAAAATCCCAGGCCCTGATTCATACTATAAATACATATTATGACAGTGCTCCTGGGAACAGAACGTCTAAAAAGGAATTAAAGTGTATTATACTTTTTTTGGGGGGGGGAGGATATATACATCACAGCAGCACCAGTGTGGGGGCCAGAGAATAACTTGTAAGAATTAGGGCTCTTCTTCCATCATGTGGATTCCAGGGATTGAATTTAGGTCATCCAGTTGAACCTGGATGAGGGCAAGTACCTTTATCCACTGAGTCATCTTGAGAGCCCCTGTTCCAAACATTTTTAATAAACCACATATTTGTAATAAA